TGCGGGATACTTTAGATTTAAAACTTGAAATATTTTAAAAGTACAATCCAGACATTCAATAAAAGAGTCAAACTTGTAAATGATTTTATCAATATAAGCAAAAAAGGCTTTAGGTGATAAATATGTTCCCTCCATTATTATAAAAGGTTGAACTGTAAATGAATTCATATAACATTTGTCAACATACTTTTGAATTTCTTCATAAACATTGCCTATAGTTTCTACTTTGATAATAAAGAACTCTTGCGCGTCCAATATTGTAGCTTTTGCTTTTGATGCTCCTGACGTGTTATGGAATCTTGCGGTTGGAGGTAAAATTGAATGTATTAGCGTTGTTAGCACACAATCTTCAGCATCTAAACAAGGAGAAAAATACATATTTACTCAAATTTTTTAAATTGGTATTTCAATATATTAGGTCTTATGAATAAAAACTAAGCATTTGCTTTTTCTTAAAATTATTTGAATAAATCGAGTAAAAGGTCTGAAATTTTAAGAAAAATCAATCGCTTAGTTTTTATTCTTAAGGCACATTATTTTCCGCTTCTATGACCTCTTAAATTTGACATACAGGCAACCACAAAAGTCTAAGCACAGAGGATTTTTTACAATGTATGCAAAGCTTTTTAATTAAATTTTTTAATTTCAATAGATTTTCAACTTTCTAATCAGTTTTGTCTATAAAATTTTAGTATAATAAATTTCAAATTGAAAATTACTAAACAATCCCGTTGATTTTTGATAACATTTTTGCTGACGGTCTCACGCATTTTTTCCATACAAGGTATGTTAAGCGATTCCTTTTTATATGGAAAAAAGTTAGCAAAAAAAAATTATCAAAAATCAGACTAGCAGTTATCAACTACAATTTAATAGGCTACAAAACTGTATAATAAAACTTTTTATAAAAAATCAGATTAGAAGGTTTAAAATTTAAATGAGAATTCACTAAGTTTTCCTTAATTTTGCAAAAGGTTTAGAAATTTAATTTTTATGTTTTTTTGTATATGAACTATATTTTTATAAAAAAAATTACCTGAAACCAATTAAAATAAAAACATTTTCATACTTTGCAATGCATTGTAAAAAATTCTACGAGCCTAGACTTAAGTGGTTTACTGTATACATACAAAATTACCTATTTGTTTCACACCACTTAAGTCTTTTAAAAGGGATTTGCAGGCGGCGTTGGCAATATTTAAGTAGTAATATTCTCGAATATTCTGTTTAAAAGCACTCCATTTAGTTTTTAATAAATGTTCTTTGTTAGGATGCAACCGCTTGAAGTCGGAGTTTATCTGTATACAAAAAAATATGTTTATATGTACATGGAAGTAAATGAGCGATATGGAAAAATTAACTGCGAGCCTTTTTAGTTCATACAAAAATTTTTAATTAACGTAACAGTGAAAAACGCGGGTGATATGTTCAATATAAAATTAGAGAACTTACCAGTTGGGGACCTCTGGCGTCTTTTAACTTTGGCCACTCCTTAATAAAATCGTAATTACTCAGAAGTGTTAAATCGCGTTGTCGAATGTTATAAGATCTGTCCCATCTGTCTAGAACCACTTCCCAATCCGATGATTCCCTTCGTAGCTCCTCTTTTATACTAGCTTCAATCGATTCATCAAACTCAGTTGCTAGATCAGGAATTGAGGTATCCAAATTATCGCACCTATGTTTAGTTGTTCCTTTTTTTTTTCTTTCCTTTGCGGTAATATTTATATATTTTGAAAATAATTTTCCAGCAGGCGGTCTTTTCCCTTTACGCGGAATGTAATAATATTCCTAAATTAAAAAAAGTTATTAGTATGCACCTACATTAAACGTTTTGATAACACTTTTAATTATATCGAAAATTTTTTGCATTACCAAAGAACATTTTTCTTCAGGAAACAACATTTGTATGTCTTTTAAAAATTGCTCGAAGTTGACGGGCCTTAATTTTATATTATTTGCAACAACGTGTTCCACAACAGCGTTTATAATCCGATCGCGTTGGCTATTATTTAAATGTCCGTTGCACTCATAGTAATCATGAATGGTTCTACCAGCAGAACAGTCTTTTAGTATCCTCTTTAAAGACTAATAAAAACGAGTTATTTAAATATTTTTCACTGATTACATATAATGTATGTATTTATACCACATAATGGAATTCACATTGGTCAACATTGCTGTGCAGCCCGTCAGCATCATAGGTCTGAATAAAAATGACGTACATAATTAACATCTTCCACTTGCTGTATGAATTTTTATTACGCTAACAATAGTGGTATCCACCAAAGTGAGCAAGTGGCCTGGCTGTTGTCAACAGTCGTTGCTTGATTTGGTGAATACAACTAATAATGCGCATAAGATGCGCAGGGTGATTAAAAGCAGCCACGCGGAATTACATATTCCTGCGACGCAAAGGGCTTGTGGAAGCACGGAAGCCGTTTGCGTACATTCATATATGTATATGTACATACATACATACATATGAGGGAACCACTTCAACTCTCCTAAAATGTGATAGCGCCATTGGTAAGCTGAGGAAAACTACTTCGAAATATATACACATATACTATATGTACATATATATATACATACCATCAGCGCAAATTGAAACCAACAATTTAGGGCTCGCGCGCCGCGTTAGGAGAGTTGATGTGATTCCCCGATATGTATGTACATAGTAAATGCGCACATAAATATGTATGCATACTTGTACTTCTATGGACAAAGGAATGCAATTCTATCGCTTTCACATGCATTATTTTCATTAACAAAATACACTAGCACTTTCAATAACAATGTTTTTTAAAAAAATATACATTACATACCTGCTTATTTCGCCAATCAAAAAGCTTTTCGCGGAATTCGGCTCTTATTCCCACTTTTCTTACAGCGTCGGCGATATCTCCTTCGCTCAAATAAGGTAAATGGCGAAATTCAATGCCAGCCGCTAGAACAATCAATATTACATGTTTATATAATAAATATTTTATACAAATTACTTCTACTTACCAGTAAGTTCTTCCAGCAGTTCATCCAAGGCAAAACTATGCAAAATTTCTTTTAATTTTTCAGACATTCTTTCTTCTCCATCAACCACAAGCTGCTACAAAATCATAACGGTATAAATGAATTGCGCACAAACAAAACCATTGTTCGAACTACAAAACCAGTGTTCGGAGGACTGTAACTCGATTTAGGAGTAAATCACTTCAAAAATTGGAGTAATAAAAAAATTGTCGTATAAGATTTCCATTTTTATTTTCGCTTTCATACGAATCAAAAATTTTAAAATTTTACATGGGACAGATCTTATGAGCAAGTAATGTTTCTATTCAATTACTCATGTACATGCTTCTAAAAAGCACTCTGAAACTTTTACTTAGATGCAGGAAATACTAAATCACTTAAATTTATTTTCAATTGACGTAAAAACAAAAACGCGAACCAATGTAAGAATAATGTGTTGCATATTTATGTAGTTATGGGTATTTTATATAAAAGAGAATATGTATACATTTCAGATCTTAAAAAAAAAAGCATAAGGCCCTGGACCTTTTCTGCTTTATTAAAACCTCTTCCTAAATTAATTTTTTTAAACACTTAATTAATTGCAAAAAAACGGGACCAATAGGCCCAGAATGTAAGTGAAAAAACGGCACAGGTTTTAAGTCAGGAGGAGTAGAGGAGTAGATTTAAAAAATTTAAAAAAACCGGAGTAAATCTCCTTTGATCGGAGTGAAGTCCGAACGTGATGCCAACATCTTCTTGTTCTCTCTCCGCTCAACATACATATGTACATGCGCCGTTCGTGAGTACAAGAGCATGTACGTATGTAAGTATGAATGTGTTGTCCTCTATAGATGGCATTTAAATATGCGCGTGCTAAGTTTTGGCCTGCTGGTATTATTTATAAGTACGCACATTTTTAAACGATAATCAAATATAAAGTATTCATTTTTACTATGCATTATTTCCCTCAGTGTAGTGTCAAGTAAAATTTGTACTGCTTTAATATTATTTAGTGTACAT